TCAACGCAGTTAATCCAAAACAGCAGTGCAATTTTTTGTAATCACAGTACATTTTCCTGTAATAACAGTGCAATTTTTTTGTAATCACTGTGCAATTTTCTGTAATCACAGTGCAAAAATCTGTAACAAACTGATCTGATTGGTGGAAAAACATTGTGATGATTAAATCAACCAATCAGTTTAAAGCAATTTAGTTTATTATTATTATTATTAAAACTTTATTTACACACGGTATTCTCATCAGGATTTAACATGCAACAAACTAAATTAGATAAATTACAAAAGTAGAACCACGCTAAAGTAAATAGAAAATATAATACCTGCTTTTCATGAGGGCCGTGTACTAAGCTAATATAACAATATATACAAGGAAAGTTAAAATAATTTGGCACAACCCGATCGGAAATTTATCAAGTTATTTGCTTGCCGTAGCCCAATCGGAAGACTGTTCCACAGCACCGCACCACTATAGCTAAAGCTATTCTTGAGGTAGTTTGTGCGGGGCTTGGGAACAGCTAGTTTGTTCTCAGTGTTTCTCAGCGAATAAGGATTAACACTGTCACGGTTTACAAACATGGAATGCATGTAATCAGGAGCAAGACCATTTAATGATTTATAGACCATGACAGCTTTTTGAAACTGGCGCTGGGATGCTAATTTTTTCCAGCCAAGTTTCTCAATTAAACCATCAGCATTAGTGTCATAACTGGAGAATGTTAGTACTCTCGCTGCACGATTTTGTAGTTTTTGAAGTTTTTCAGCTGGGGTTTTGTTGCAATTGTCCCAAATTGTGCAACAGTAATTGAAATATGGCTGAACCAAGGAATTAAAAATTAATTGCAATGTTGCGACTGGGACAAATGATCGAACACGTTTTAAAGCGCCAATACCAGAAGCAATCTTTTTTGTTAATTCATTAATTTGTATATTCCAATATAGATTCTCATCAAGGTACACTCCCAGAGACTTTGCTTGTAAAACCTTGTCAATAGGAACCCCGTCTATTTCTAAACATGGAACTGATCGAAATGTGGCTATTCTTTGTCGTGAGCCAATTAGCATAAATTCAGTTTTGGATTGATTTAGAGTAAGCTTATTGGCGATAAGCCATTTGTTCACATTTGCAAGGTCATGATTAAGGTGATAATTTATGTCGTCAATATTGCTACTTGCAAATGTTAAATTAGTATCATCCGCGTACATTCGTGCTTGGGAGTGCTCAAGGCAATTTGGTAAGTCATTTATATACAGTAAAAATAACAATGGTCCTAAAATAGTCCCCTGTGGAATACCACAGAGTAACGTACGATTATTAGAAAGGTGACCATTAACATAGCATTTTTGACTGCGGTCACTTAGATAAGACTTAAACCAATTAGCCACAGCACCCCCAAGACCATACGCATTCAGTTTTGATAGTAAAATTCCATCATGGTTAACTGTGTCAAACGCTTTCTTAAGATCTAGGAAAACTACAGCATTAACTCGGCCTTGGTCAATGTTGTATGCCCAGTTATTGGTGGACTCAAGAAGCGCGGTGACAGTTGAATGTAGACTTCGAAACCCTGACTGGCTATTACATAGTAAATTGTTGTCAGTAAGAAAGGCATAGATTTGATCATAAATAATTCGCTCGAAAACCTTCGCTACAACAGGGATTACCGAAATTGGGCGATAATTATTCAAGTCCCTACGCTCACCGTGTTTAAATAATGGAATGACTTTTGAGCATTTCCATTCATCAGGAAAGATACCGGTATTAATAGAGCAATTGAAAATTACGGTAAGGGATTCCGACAGTAGGTCAGGATCGACAGTAGCGCAGACGCTTAGCAGATATTTTATCTAGGCCAGTTGCTTTAGATTTACAGAGTTTGTCCAAAAGTGAACAAACCATTGATGAAGTTGTCGACTTCAACTCAAAAGTATTACCACTAATATGGCAATTGAGATATTCTAAATATGAGCAGTTATTTTCATCACAAGGTATCTTCTCCATAAGCTTAGGTCCAATGCTAGCAAAATGAGTGTTAAACGTCTCCGATAACCCCGGGGGGTCACTAACTGAAGAACCATTTAGTTTAATCTCTTTTACATGTGAATTATTTTGTTTTCTTGAGGTTAATTCATTAATAATACCACAAGTTTTTTTCACATTACTCTCGTTTTCATGAAAAGCATTCATATAATGGGCTTTCTTCGCAAATTTAATTTCATTGTTCACAGAGTTGCGAGCTTTCTTAAAAGCAGCCCAGTCATAAATATCTTTAGATCGAATAGCCTTGATTTTTAAAATATCTCTTTCATGCATATGTCTTTTTAACTCAGGCGTGATCCAGGGCGACTTAGAAAGTCTTACCCGCCTTGTCCGTAAAGGAGCATGCATTTCCACTACGTTATTAAAGGTCGTTTTCCACACACGCCACATATCATTCGGATTATTATACGCCCTTATGACGTACCAATTCTGTGAAAAAATATCACTTCGAAAACTTTCAGAGTTAAAATTTTTAAATTTTCGATAATTTACTGTAGAATGGCCTTTATTGTGTAGACCGGTTGAAAGCTTACGGAATGCATAAATTAAGCTGTGATCACTAATACCGACATGAGAAACACCGGAGCAAACAATTTTATCTGGTGTATTGGTGAATATATGATCAATCATAGTTGAGGAAGTTTCAGTAATTCGAGTCGGTTCACTTATCAATTGATGTAAACCATAGAGCTCAGTGATGCCTATTAATGATCTCGAATTACTCTCTAAATCAGGCGACCCGAGATCACAATTTAGGTCACCCAATAAATAGTACTCGACATTTTCAGCATCAAGCATGTCAATAAATGTCTCAAAATAATTAAATTTATCAACATTCGAATTTGGTGGCCTGTACCATGTCGCAACGAGAAATGGCTTAGAATTTGGTTTTTGAATTTGAATACATAGATTTTCTAAATTATCAATAGACATGTCTTTACGCTGTATGAAATTTACGCTGGAGCGTACATAAAAACAAACACCTCCATACGTTTTTCCATCTGCACTTCTAAATGCCCTGTCACGACGTATGATTTCGTATCCAGGTATATATACATCGTTATCGCTTATTGTAGAATTAAGCCATGTCTCATTTATTGTTAGGACATCGATCGGGCTAGCAGCAAGCAAAACTCGCAGCTCATCAATATGATTTACTAGGCTTCTCACATTAAGTGCCGCGAGCTTAAACCCGCGCGAGTTAGGAATAACGGACTGAGTAGGATAAAGTCAATCTGAAATAGTTTTTAAAGAAGTAACGGTCACAGATTGCTCAAAGCAAAATAAACATGGCGCCGCGCTACATAAAGTAAAAGTTGCCTTCGCGTGGAAAATATGGCTTTTATTTTTATTTTTAAATGGAAAAGCATTTACCTTAATTTAAACAAGACTAACAAAAATTACATAGTTGAGTGGAATTTTCAAGCTGATAGCGTTGTATAATGTGATGTAACAAAGCCAGGAAAACTTTGCCAGTGGAATGTTCGCTATAAACGCGTAAGGTCAATTAAAAAATTATTAGTAGTTTCTCGTCCCCGCCCGCATCATTTTCCATGCCGCATGGATTTTTCTTTTTTTATGTTTTATTATTTTATATTCGAGCCTCCTAAAGAATTTCCACTTAGTATATTTCGGCCATTTTGCTCCTTTCGGCATATTTCGGTTGCCGTTCGGAAATTTTCGGAAATCACTCTTGTTTTTGTCCTCAGAAATTATCTTTAAAGTTTATTAAGTTCGCATATTATGAAGTTTTAATATTTCCTGCTGCCCCCCTCGTTGCCTCTTTGAAAGGTTTTGGATTGGAGGCGCAACACAACATCGCTGTCAATCTAATCCTGGATCTTGGCAAATAGAGCCACACGTTTGGTAGAGATCCCAACAATCACATACAGGTCTTCACATAGTGACTGGGCATTCTCCAAGGCTGAGCAATGTTTGGTGGCATCTTAGTTTTTGGCAATGTGCTAGGCAGCGAATAAAAATGACTGATTCATTCATTTCACTTTTGACTTTCTTCGCCAGAAATTTCATTGCCATTGGGCCATCAAATGTCATTCCACCTAACCTGCGCGCATCCATGCAGTTGACACCTTATCAAGATATCCTTGATGTATTCAAACAGAGCATCAGTGAACGCCCTCGCTGCATTCATAAATGCATGGGCGTACCGGAAGGAAAAAATTAGGGGGGCGGAAAGAAAATTGCCCGACTTTTCGGAAAAATTATTTTGGCGACCCCCCCCCCCACCCCGTCGCCCAAAAAATTTCGGTCAGTGTACCAATTAAGGGGTCAAAAAAATTTTCCGGACATACCAAAATTTTTCGGAGCATCACATAAATTTTCAAAAAAACACTACATTCGCCACAAAATTGACTAAATTTTCGAAAAAATTCACAGAATTTGTCCGATTTATTTTTATAACAAACCAAAATTGCCCGACTATTAATCGAATATTGCCCGACTGCCCAAAAAACTGGGGGGCTACCGCCCCCCCCCGCCCCCCACGCCTATGCATAAATGCTAAATTCATAAACACTTTATAATCGTCGGTATAGTACCGTGATTGTAAGGACATGTGTTCCGACTTCGAGATGTCTGTGGCCTCATCTACTATTATTCCATAGGATTTGACGCTCTGGAGCTCTACGTTAAGTTTTTCCTTGCCACATGCACAACATTTCCTGTTGCTCTTCGAGCAAGCTGTGAGACATAAATCTGTTCTCAATTATTAATAGTTTTAGCCCAGGGATACACTGACCCTTGTATTTATTAAACTGGTAGACATTTCCTTCTTCATCTACCTCACGTCGAAGGGCCAAACCTTGACGAAGTAGTGTCTTAAGTGTTCCAAAATGGGTTTCTAGGTTCTCTCGCCGTATGTACTCTTCCTACATTCTTCATCACTTAGAAGCTCAGGTATCTTTTCCTTTTCTTCCAGGATTTTTTATTCTTCTTACATTGCCGATGATAATCAGATAACTGGTGCGTGTAAAGGCGTTCTATAATGTAGACCTTTGTTCTACGATGAGAATCCATCTGATGTTCCGTCTTTGTATTAAAATAAAATTTGCTCTGGAATCTTCAGTTCCCGTCAGTGGATTTGACGAACAACCACTCCGCATTGAAATAAAGCCTGATTGCCGGTTAGCTTCAAAAGATTACATCATTATATAAACCTGACAAGTTACGATAAATTTAGGGGTTTACGTAAGTAATCTGTTAGTATTAAACGACTTAAATTTATTCGTTTTAAATCTTTTGCGCACATGTTGCACCCATCGTCTGCACCTGCAGTGCACCCAAAAAGTTATGAATACAAAAGGCATGGGGTGCACTTGCACCCGCTGCACCCGTGGTTACGGCATCCCTGATGCCATATAGTACTATTTTGTCAAAAGTATAGAAATACATATACTTAAAAAAAGGTATTGTACAAGTTATGACGGACAAGTTTTGAAAAGCAATCTCAGCTTGAGCACCTCAAAATCACTTTTTACAACAGATGTGTTATCAAGTTTACAGTCTAGGTACATACTTGTCATTGCAGATAATGCAAACACGAAAGCGAGGCAAATGCTACAAACATGAAAGCAAGGAAGATGTTACATCCAAAAATTTCGAAAGAACATAGCACCCAGTGTGACTTCACGATGCATGAGGAAGCGTTCTCCTGCGTCGAACGCGATTATCCCAATTGCTACCTTGTCTAATGTCTAATGTCTAATACTAAGAATAAATGAAAAATCTAAAACAGGTGATATTCATTTTAGGACAGAGAACCATATTTTATGAGTTTTTTTCTGGAGATTTGGACTAGTAAATATTATTTTCAAAAGACAATTTTCTTTAACAAGTTCTCCGGTTTCGTATTAAAAAGATCACTTATTTGATGTGAACAAAAAAATTTACTTTTAATTTACCAATCTAAGTTACTCATGGTAATAGTGGCAAAATTGTCAATTTCAATTTTTTTTATTTTCAATTGTTAATTTCATAGCGAAATTGTCAGGGTCAGGTTCATAAATTGTGCAGCTTTAGAAAGTGTCATCCAATTGGTCAGATTACAGCTTTTCTACCTGACCATGGCCATCTAAAAAATAAAACCCCCCTGAATTTTGAGCAGAACGAAAAGTTTGGATGCGGTTCATACGTTCACAAAACGATTTACGGATGATTCCATTTCAAATGCGTAATGTATATTGGTTCCCTATATCGGGAGTCCAAAAAAGTAATAATTAAACCGAGTGAAGCTATTACACTTAAATAAATTTTATTAGATAGAGAAAAGGTGAACTTAGATTTTGGAATATTACAGTTGCATAGTTATAAAAAATAGGTACGCGCTGCGTACATGTGGGTAGCCTGCATTAATTGTTGTTAAAGCTGGAGTAATACGCGCAACAAAATCGCTGCAACAAAATTACTGCAACAAAATTTGATTTCAACGCATTTTAAGTAGAACTGTTGACAAAACATTTCAATTAACATGCGCAGAAATCAGATTTTGTTGCAAGTTGCAGCAATTTTGATGCCCATATTAGTATATTACTCCACCTTATTTGCTATTGTCAAATTCCGAATTTACTGAAAGAAAGTATTAAGTAAATTGACACAGTTCAAATATTATACACACATTTAAACACATACTGAACATCAGATATGACAAATATACGTAAGCGACTGTTACGTGCATTTTTCAATAAGTATAAACAGATATAACAAGTTACAAAGTATTTTAATGTGTCAAAAATAATTTGCACACTGAACAGACAGAACAGTACAAGGTCTTTAATATGTATACGAAACCAAATACTTCATACGCCGAAATACAGACAGTACGAAAAACACTTAAGACGAGAACAGTTCTTGTTCAAGGACAGCATACATCAAAGACAAAGGATCAGGTTTACAGGCTGCGTATATACAATTTTCGTGAAGTTTGAGTTTCAAGAATAGTCCATGTAAAGATCTAAGCACGATGTTTTCCGGCGGAATTGAAAAAGATCAACATATTCTTTATTGAGTGATGATTGAATTAATTAAACAACGACATAATCGATCCCATATATATTGGTAATGACATTCAACTTGCTTTCAATATTCGACAAATATATCCCAAAGACTTCGTGCGCTAATATTCCACTGCCTAATCCTTGTGTAAACCGTGCTTGGCTTTCTATTTGCCTTAATTTACACATTCGACTAACCCGATTCGAATGACACTGGCCTTACAAACATTATGTAAGCAACGACATACTCGATTCTATATACCTATATGTTCGTCATTCGTCAACATTCCTTCGATATAGACTAACGTAAATATGTCCAATCGTCGCACGCTATATCATTAATTACTATATTTTTCTAATACGTATAAAATATTTGATCAAACTGATATGTCGTGTTTAAATATGACATGTTATATGTAAACAACGAGTTTGAGTGTTTCATCAGGGGTCCAAACACGAGAAAACTGTATGAAACACGAGCGCGAAGCGCGAGTGTTTTATTGTTTTCGAGTGTTTGGTCCCCTGATGAAACACGAGAAACGAGTTGTTTACACAACATCTCAAACGAAAACATTTCATTGGCTTATATATATTATTATAGTATATTGTTGTGTTTTGACTTGAATTTGTAATTAGGATCTCAGTTATTAGATGAAAACCGTCAGTTTTTCATCTAACAACAGTGATGGTATATGATTTTTAGCGTGTTTCCTTGCGGTATCCAACCTCAATCATGTGACGAATTAGGGTGAGTTCATTCGCTAATTTGCTCATGAATTATTAATGAGTTTGAGATTACACGATATAAAACAGACCCCGTGCGCTAATATTAACCCCAATGACCCTTGTACAAGCAGTGATTATAAAAACAACGACATATTCGATTCTATATGCGTTGGAAATGACTATCGACCTGACAAAACATATTACAATAAAGACTTTACTAAGAATTTATACACATCTCTGTACAGTATGAGCGTTAGTGAACTTAGCCTGTGGTCTATAGACGGTTCGTATTTCAAGGATAAAAGGAACCGCGCAGCAGGACACCGCGGACACGAAGGCCACAGAGCCACAGAGAAACGGAAGATCGCGCTTCAGTCTCTCACATAGTGGTTAGCTGCGCATGCGCGGCTACCCACAAAAATTGACCGAGATATTAAGGTTCACATTCGGTAGCATATTTCTGGATGTGTGAAATACAGTGGAACCTCCATTAAGCGGCCACCGTCGGGAAATGGCTAAGTGGGCGCTTATAATAGAGGTGGGCGCTTATAATAGAGGTGGCCGCTTAACAGAGGGACGCCGGAAATAAGCCATGGGCGTGGTCAAATGTTTTTTAATCAATTTAAAATTATTAATAACAGTAAAAAGTAGACTTTCACTTCATAAAACCAATACATATTAGCAAAACAATAGTTAAAAAAACAAAAAAGGAACAAAATTGGCTCCCAAAGATTCTAAGACGAGCGACCAATTCCGGGAAAGCAGTGATCAATGTCAAGTGTGTAAATGTAGGTGGTGGCTATGGTTTAGACGTTCATTGCGAATACCAATCCACGTTTACTGCGATGAAAAATATGTTGCTGTCACGTGACCAAATTTGCATTTTTTCGGACAACTTTCACACTCCGCGATATAAACAAGCGAAAATATCGCAAAATAAGGACGATTTGAAAGGGATTTTTTTGTATTTGTGGGTATATTTTAACTCCTGTAAGTGTAATATATTGCCAAGAGAAAAAATTCCCGGTTGTGTGGGTACGAAAATAATGGGATATATTTCGCTCGACGGCCTCGATCATACTATAAGCGATTCACAAATTATGGTGAAGGGATGTTTTGGGGGAACATGCAAAGCGATTCGAGGTATCCAGCACGCTTAAAAAAGGACAATTGGACTTCAGTGTCTTTCCACAGTTTCCCAAGTGAGAAAAAATCTAAGGAAAGAAGGCAAATTTGGATAAATGCATGTTATCGAGGCGACAAGTTCGTCTGGCGGAAAGACAGCTATATATGCGGTTTTCATTTTATTGGCGAAAATGGACCCACAGCGGATTATCCTGATCCGTTACCAGCTACAGCTGATTAAAGGGCCTATAGAACAGTTAAATCCTGGTGACGTCATTATGGCTAAGGTTTTATTAATGTGCAAGATATTTTTGCATTACAATATGTCCGTCTGATTGCTCCACCAATTATGAGCAAGGGCAAGGTCTCAGCAAAGGCAACAACTCTGACGAGACGAATAGCTAAATCACGTGTCCATGTTGAGCGAATGATCAGGAAGTTGAAATGCTTTCAACTAATCCACTCACTTTAAAACCATATGCAAGTTCTATCACTCGAGTGTGTGCTTGTCTTGTCAACTTGTAGTGGTACACATAATAAAAACAACCTCATACAAAAATGTCAGAGAGTTCTATTCTAATTTCTAGCGCCATACCTTCAGAAAATGTTCAACAAACAGGACGAGATAAAAACCACTGTTATTGCTTGAGACCTCTCGTTGAGGTCCCTGATATTAAGAAAAAATCATCTTTGAACTTCAGTAGCTATAAAAGAGATTTTGGAATTAATGAGTACATAAAATCAAAATCAGCAAAAATAGTTACTTTTAGAACTGTGTTTGAAAGCTTTTTAAAGTGTTTCCTTGGCAAAGCGTATTTTTTGCGCAAATGCTCAAAGAATCTATATAAAATTAAAAAAAACTTTGTAAAATAACTTTGTAACAAAACACATTTTGATACATGCCTACCAATTTTTTTAAAATTAATTTTAACTTAAAGTTGGGCATGAAATGTTTAAGATGTTTGTTTCAAACTTTTGGTTCTTACCATGGAGTGATGACAGCCAATAGCCAGTGGTAACTGAAACAATTTAACCAATATGTACCTTGTTGCAAAAAATGATGTAAGGAATAAAGAAAATAAATAAACAACCTTTCTTACATAGGCTTTACTTAACACTAAAGAAAATTACAAAATGGCTACCTATATATATTATCTAAAGTAAGGCCTGGTTCCTAAGGAAATACAAGGAAATACTTCATGTAAATATAATACAAATTCACTACATTCTCCCCTACCTAATTAAATATAGCAATCTATCAAATTAATTAGTTCATCTATGAAATAAAGTTAATAAGTGTCTATTAATATAGTTCAATGTAATTACCAGTCATTAAAATAATTAACTAAATTATAGAGCACTATAAGTTCATTGTCACTACAATTAATTACTAGTTCCACTAGTTCCAATGTATTACATACAGTAAACCAAACGATCTGGTGGTTTTCGCTCTCTCTGCGAGCGACGCAGCGGTTGTAACTGTTGTGATGGGGAGGGTCGTTGTAATATCTGAGAGTCGGATAATGGTTCCTCCGTACTCGCTTTGTTCACTTCAGGCAACGTGTTAACCGTTTGCTCGACATCGGCTGTGGCAGGTGTCGAATTCAAGATATCTTCATTGATGTCTGTTGTTACATGTAGTTGATGGTGGGATAATTCGTGCTGTATATCCGTCCTCCTGTCAACTTGGGGGCGAGATACTTCGAGGCTACAGTATCTTCTCTCCCATCTGGGAATCTTACATGCGCGTACTGAGAATTTGCATCAATCAGCTCTACCTCGTTTACTGATGGATCAAATTTAGATTTTCTAACTTGGCGCTTCAATAAGACTGGGCCTGGGGTGGTTAACCATGTAGGTACAAAAGTAGCACTTACTTTAACAGAATATTAATAATGTTATCATTTATTATCTGTCTTGGTTCCAATTTTCTTATGCATGTCTCATAAATGTTAATATTCATGACAGTTACGCTCCACAATTCTTTGGTTGCACTTTTTGGCAATGTGACAGGCTCATCTTTCGAAATATTCACATGTACTAAAATATAATAAACACAAAATAAACAACACTGTTGGTGCATTTGATTACACATAACTATATCTATGATGGTTGATTGACTTCCGACATGCCTGTGAAGGATTAATAATTTAGAAATATATTTACAATCATGTCAATGCTATGACTAGACGCGACTATAAAGACGAATAAACTTCAAAATATGCCCCCTTCCCTCCGTTCCAATGTTGTTTGTAGCATGTGAAAGCTCTGTAATGTATCGACCTTCGAAACCATGCGTATCTCGAGTACTGAAATACCGCAACATTGAAAAGGGGTGGGAGGGGAGGGGTCCGTATGCCTTTTTAGAGAACTGTTTCAACAATAAAGTTAATGATTGTAGTTTTGTTGAGAAGAGGGATAAAAAGCAAAAGCGCTTACCAGCAGCTTTATTGGGTGCAGAATCGTTATTTGTCAACTCATCCACCATAGCAGGAAACACTTGTCCATACCAAAAGCTTTCAACCTTCTTGCACAAAGAAGTCATGAATTCTTTATCATATAATATTGATGCCACAAAAATCTCTTTTTTTGTCCACACCACAAAGTCACAAAAGCTGAGCCCAGTGACAAACATTTGAACCTGTGCATGGTAATAGTAGGGCGCAGTCTTTTTTAGTACACGATCTCTTTTAAAAACAGTCCCACCAATCTCTGGGGTTAAGAAAGATTCTTTGGGAGGTTGATCTGTATTCTACCACAATATCTTGACAATCAACATGGTACTTGCACGTACGTGTATTGTCCACACTTGCACCTGTCATCGGCTTGTCCTTGCAAATTTGAAGTCCTTTAGAAAGAAGACTGAACTTATAATGCTTCTTACTCTCCACCCTGTAATAAGAATCTCTCGCTGAATCTTCATGAACTAAACCCCATTCTCTTGGATTCTGGGGGTATATGAATCGTTTGGGGAAGGTTTAAATGTGCATTTTGGAGAGGTGATATCTTTTACAAGATTTAAAACATTACATTTTACACCCTTTTCCAACTTAAGCTGTGCATTAAAAACTCTCTTTGCTTTTGAAGCAGTAATAATGCCACCTTTGTGGAGATACCATGCATTCCTTGGTTTTCCATTGTTGAACTGTGAACGTGCTAACATTTTCTATTTTTTCATCGTTGAATGAGATATTATTGTGCTAATTGCTAAAGCAACTAAAAAGTAGATATTATAATTTTTTCAATGCGGGTCTTTTCATGTGACAAATTAATAAATTTTTTGACATATTTTTCATGACAAATTTTGTTTGTTAATCTATACTCCTCCCGTCCCCCCCCCCTGCCATTTGCAACTGGCTACCAAAAAAGAGCAGGGTTTGTCAGGGTGCATTATAATCATATGATTATCATAATGATACATCGACCAACATTACTACAATGCACCTTAAACATAACATTAAATGATAGACAATTTCATATGATAACTAGAGGGCACTCAGAGACTGCATACCTCCGCCCGTTACTCGGAAGTGAAACGCAACCTTGGAATTTCCTAAGAAATCCACTTTATAATTCTTAAGCATAAAAGATTTCAGGCCCCCGCGAATTGAAATCGAATTGCTAAT